GCTAGAGGTCATTTAGATCTTGTTCATTTAAGACCACCATCTACACCACCAGAAAATCAAGCACAATTCAAAATTCGTGGTGATTCCAGTACACAGTTACAATTGCTAGTACAACAACGTATGCTGCAACAAAAACGAAACTTATATCACAGACATAGAGGCGGAGGAAGTCCAACTCCGATGCCGGTATCAACGAGTACTACAAGTAGACGCACTGATCACGTACCAAGACAAGACAGTTATAAACTAGCTCAAAGAACACAGATCTTACCACCTTTATCTCAGGGACATGTTGATAGAGACTTTGATAGAGAAAGAAAACGAGATGAAGAAAGATGGAAAAGTTTACCATCTCGACTTGCAGCAGATTGTCAGTTAGCAGAAAGGACACTGCTGTGGAGCCAACAGGTAATTCTATAAATAGAAATTTAAAAATCGTTTGGATTAAATATAAAAAAAGTTATTGGAAAAGAACACAAAATAACTTGTTGATATCTGTCCAACGATCATGACGTCATTGTTCTTTTGGAGCAAGTTTAAATCATGCCAAAATTGCGTATCTATATTCGAACTCAAAATAGAATATTATGTTACTTGTTCCTTTCATAATGTTAATATTGTTGTGAATGTGTATCATGTTCACAATGATAAATTTATGTAAATACCATTAGTATTGTTTATAATAGCGATTAGACGTTATTTGTGATACAAAAGCACAATTATTTGTGTTAGATGCAAATAAAAAATTATTTTTCTTTAATTTGGCGATTTATTGTTCACTCTAATTTGCCTTATTCATGCATGTACCAATCCAATTAAAGTCAATGTACAGTTAACAAAAAAATTTTGATTCTTTTTTTTTTTTTAAGAAACGATTAACGGGTATTTATATAAATTACCATATTTGTATTTTTATATATATATATATGAAAACTAAAATTTTATTTTGATAACTGTACAATATGATTTTAAATAGTTATTTATTTGCCTGTTAAATACATAAACAACAACGTGACATTTGCACCAATACATAATTCAATAATCACAAAGAACTATCATATTAGCACAATTATTATGAATTCCTAAACAATACAATATTAAATACTTAAACATTAAGCTTGGAAAATGCATATTATTTGTAGCATATTATTTGTATTTCCCTTATTTGGCTTTCTAGATTTTATTTTTTAATATTTATAATAATCATATTTCTTAACATTTTATAATAAAAATATTAAATTTTGAATATACATACAAATGTAAATAATTTAAAGAAGAAAATATATCAGGTGGGTCTCAGTGGAGGAGCATCATATTTGCCACCTGGCAGTGTAGGTGGTTTCTTATGGCCCACTGGAAGCAACCCTCATTCAACCATCTTCGAAAACGTTGGAGATCCAATGGAATAAACATCTATCTTGTTGTATTTTTAGTGTTGGAGATTTTGAGTCTGAAAGACTAGATTAGATATACAAAATACAATAAGCAGTATTGCCTTCCTAGTCTTTCCATATCAGTATTTTTATTTTTACGATTATGTATTCTATTGTATCTATTTTTTACGTATTCAAAATGTTGTATAAATTTCCTCCATAATATTCTAGCTTTCATACACAAAATCTTTAATTAAATGGAAGGTACATGATACTAAATGTCAAAGATTTGTTTTTATTCAAATTCGGTTTTTCCATGTGTTTTGAGCATCACATTTTATCATATATTTATATATTCATATATTTCATTCATAGAATAATAACATATTTTGTGCAGATATATTGAATATTATTAAAAATCTTTGTCATATAGTAGCATGTGCACCTGCCTTATTAATTGGCTGATTTTCTCAGTCAAATATCCAATTATATCATAGACTGATAATTAACAAGAGAAAACACCAACCAAGTTTATATTCATGAGCAAGTGGCATATGTCTTGTTTTACAGTGGCTATATTTAATTGAAAGCACAATGTGTATATGTATATATATTTTAATGATAATTAATGAAAAATACTTTTGATATGCTTCTTGAATATATTTCAATAAATTATCATATAATGTCAACAATATATTATTTATATGTATTATTATTTTTATGATGTTATAAAGCAAGCAATCAGAATTGGAAGATAATATACAAAAATCGATCGGAATTTAATAATAAATTTATGAATTTTATAAATTCCATTTGAATATTTAATAATTAATTAATTAAAATAGATAATCCAAATAAAATTTAGAAAATGAAACAAGAAAAATCAATAAAAAAATTATAAATATAAATTACAAATAATATATGTGTAAAATAAAAATATAATATACTTCATTTCATAAAAACATACGAAATAAAATTAATTTAAACTTAAATGCAAGAACTATGCCACTTATGCTTTTCTATGCTATTTATTGAAGAGTGGAGTTAATAAAATGAAGAAACTAAATTAAAATTTTTTGTTATACCTTTTTATTAATATTTATTCTAATAATATTGTACAAAACTAGGTGTTTCGTCATTCCACTCTTCATTATGATTGTTATAGAAAATTAAGAAATAATAAAACAATAAATAGTGATAAATAGTAGCTGCTGTTTAAAATAAAGAAAAAAGTGCTGCATTCTGTAAAAATATTTAAATAAAATTATTGTATACGTAATATTTAAAATAACTATGACTGTTTATATTTTAAATTATATGTTTTGTATATTTTATTATTTTCTATATAAAAATATAAATTGCATCAAGTTATTGATATTATATTTTGCATAAATGTAAGTACAAAATTATCATTTTATTCAGAACAAAATAGTTCTGTATGAACTTTTTACACAATTATTATTAAATAAAAAGAAATGAAATTAATATTAACTTAAATATATTTATATGTAAATTTTGATACGAATACAGCACTTTTTAAAGCAAATATGTATTAGATTTTAGTAGTCTAGTCAGTAGGAAGCAATACCGGCCGCGCACAACTGACAACGACTTTAATATTCAAATTTTCCGCCATTTTTTACCCAACAAAAACAATCAAACTTCGCTCAAAAAATCTTTTGATAAGTAAAAAAAAATAGCTGTTAAGTTAGCATAATCATGCGAGATCTTATTCTGGTATTATTCTCGAAAAGACATTCCGAAAACTGTTTTAGAGGAATTCAAAGGGAATTGAAAAATCAATTTTGGTATTCTTACGTATTTTCATCCATGTCTTTTTTAGAATGATAAATATTCAAAAATGCATAAGATGTACATCATTTATATGTATTAATTTATCATTAAATAAGTTTATTTCACTAAAATACCATTGAATTTTGCAAGCAGTAAAAGTATTTGCAAAAGTGACATGATATGAAATTATTATTTGGCAATATATTGTCCAATTAATACATATAAGTACTTTGTAAAATAATTATTTACCATCAGTTAGTGTGATATTGAAAAAATATAGTAAAATAATCTAATTGTGCAAAATCAATGAAAATATGCAATACACTCCATTTATAATTGAAACAGACTGTTTTTGTATTTGCAATAAATTAAATATTTTGTACTTAATATATGATTTTTTAAAGATCATATATGATGGTAAATAATTAATGTTTATAAATTACAAAATTGTCAAAAAATGTATACATTGTGCGTATCAGCATATTGAATAAAACATTATGTAAAATATAATGTTGAATCTATTTTATTTAAAGATAATAATTTTTATTATAAGATAATTACAAAATTTTGAAAATTTAATAGGTATTACAATTAATAGAACTATTTTATTTAATCTCTATTTTATCCATTAAAAAAATATCTGTACCAGTCATTTCAGCATGTTCTCTAGCTTCTTCAGGTGTCATTTTTTCATTTTCACTAGGATTTAATGATTCACCATTTGAATCTAATTTACCCTGAATAAAATCTTTTCTTATTTTATCAGCATACACTATATTAAATAAATCTTTAGCTGTAAATTCACGCTTAGTAAAATCTGTAACTCTATAAGAAACATATGGTTTTAAATGAAAATCTTTTAAGGAAGGAACAATAAGTTCTGGTATCATTTCTGGTACATTAACCCATTTGTTTTTCACCCACATTCCTGTTAACTTTACACCTCTTCCTGAAAATATTTATTAATTATTAACACAAAATATAATTATCCATTATGGTTATTAAAAATATGTAAGAGAAATGTTATCATATATTTTAAATAAAGATATACGTACTGTCAATAGGAATATCATAGTGTGGATTTTTAGCTCGTTCTTCCTTAAACATACGACTACCTCTTTTATTGTATAATTGAATCATACGAAAATTCCGTTTACCACAACATGTTGATGATATTGAAATTTGTCGAATTATAACAGTAAATGTAGATGCCATTTTATAATAATTATTATATAATAATTATTTGAATTATATACGAAATTCTTATAAGAATTTGAAAGGTGAATTTATATTTCTTAAATCAATGAAATTATTTTAAGAGGTTATGTTTTGTATTGATTATTTGATATTTATATATTTCTTATTCAATTAAACTTATTTATGTCACAATAATATTATAAGAAGCAATAAATTGTTCATTTATTTATAAATATTGAAGAAAGAATAAGAAAAAGAAATTAAAAATATCATATACTTTTTTTATAAATATTACATTTGTTACAAAGTATATATAATCAATTATATTATTATTTTGAAAATAGTTTTATTTAAATTTAATGAGAAAAAAATTTATAAATTCAATTATTATTATTTCAAATTTATTGTTTTTAAATCCACATCACATGTAACTATAGTTATGATATAAAAATTATTAACATTAAATCATAAATTATTTCACATTTTATTCAATCTGTAATTTATAATAATTTTATGTGATAAAAATATAAATAAAGTATATTGTAATCTAATTTAGAATCTTATTTAATGTATAATCATTATATCTGTAAAATGGCTTAATCATATTTTCTTATGTATAGTGAATCTAAAATCTTTGTCATCAATGGTTAGTTCTGTTCATATATTTTGAAATATATATCATACATTTTATAACCTAACTGCATAAATAAAAGGAGTGATAAGCATTCGATTTATATCTTATTTATTTTTAAATCGAATAACTATTTAGATTGTTATTAGTAGAATTAGAATAAAGTTTATTATATATTTCTTATATATATATTTCCTTCCACGGAATATAGAAATATCGTAAATAATTTTATTTATTTTACTATATAATATTTGATTTTTGAAATAAAATTTCTTTTTAAATAAATCATGTCAGCGAATGTGTCACATACAGAAAAAGAATTAGATTTAAGTAACGCAGGCAGAGGTGTATGGCTCGTGAAAGTACCTAAATATATAGCAAATAAATGGGAAAAAGCACCTGGCAATATAGAAGTTGGTAAATTAAAGATAACTAAGTATGTTTTTAAATGTAATTATCAAATCATATTTAATGTCATAATTTTATGAAAACAATACATTATATATATATATATTATTAGAAATCCTGGTCAAAAAGCAGAAGTATCTCTTAGATTATCTGAAGCTGTTTTAGCTTTAAAAGAACCTGGAGAGGAAGAAATTCCAAAACAACATAGATTAGATGTTACAACAGTAACAAAACAAATGTTAGGTGTATTTTCTCATGTTACCCGTAAGTTATTGTAAAAAATATTTAAACATAAGATATTTATTAAAATATATTTAATAAATTCATTTTTTCTAGCTTCAAGTAGTTCAGATTCTATAGTTCCTGAAACTGAAAAACTTTATATGGAAGGAAGAATTGTACAAAAATTAGAATGTCGTCCATATGGTAAAAATATTATTACAAAATATTGAAAACATTTTATTATAGAATATATGTACATAATTTACATTTATTTCTTTAGCTGATAATTGTTATATGAAATTAAAATTACAAAGCATTAAAAGGGCTTCTGTGCCACAAAGACAAGTTCAACAATTAGATAGAGTAGTCCAAAATTTCAAACCAGTTTCTGATCATAAGCATAATGTAAATATATTATAATATTATATTATTTAAATATTTAAAATATATTATATAAACATTTTTAATACTTTTATAGATTGAATATGCAGAAAAGAAAAAGGCAGAAGGTAAAAAGATGAGAGATGATAAAGATGCCGTATTGGATATGTTATTTGCTGCATTTGAAAAACATCAATATTATAACATAAGAGATCTTGTGAAAATTACAAGACAACCTATTGTAAATAATGTTTTATTTACAATTATATACATATATATTATATCAATTTTAATTATTATTTATTCATTCATTTTATTGTATATAGGTATATCTAAAGGAAATATTAAATGAAGTTTGTAATTATAATCTGAAAAATCCTCACAGAAACATGTGGGAGTTAAAACCAGAATATCGACATTATAAAGAAGAAGAAAAACTTGAAGATACACAAAAAAAAGTTGATGAGTCAGATGATGATTAAAATTAAAGGTATTTGTTTCATTAATTTTTATTTATATAAAGTGAAATTAAACAAATTTTATACTATTTCACTTTTGAGGCTGTGCAAAATTAATATTGTTTAATCAAATTTTTTAGATATACATTTATAGATTTATTGTGTTGTGTATATCAATATAGAAGAAATATTTTTAAGACTAAATAAAATGTTTCTTTATTTTTTTTAATAAATGGTCAAAAGTTGAATTATATACAATCTTCTTAATTATAAATATTACAATACTTTTTTTTATTATAATATAATTATAAGAAAAAATTGTAAATTTGTAAAGCATATATTTATACTTTATACAAAAAAAAAGCATTATATTATTTAAATACATAGTTACAAGATTTATAAATATTTCTAAAATTGTACATAAAAAATAACATATTGTATACATATATTAAAATATTGAAAAAATAATATAGTTCAATGTTAACATTTAATTTATAATAAATACAAACAAATATATTTTTTCATAAATATATATGCATATTTTAAATTGTACAATAGAACGAAGAACCTATTTCATAAAATATGTGTTTGTATATGTATATAATCTTTTTGTATATTTATATAATAAGCATAAGAAAATATTAGTTAACATAACTGACTAGAGTTGATTATATATGGTCTTCTGTTTTTGGAATGAATATTATTGTAAGTGACATAAATATAAAAATATATATTTCAAAATAAGAAATATTTAAGTACATAATTGCATAAATTCGTATATTTCTTTTTATTCAGAGAAGATGAAATAATTTTTTAATTCATAAAAATAATTAATCAAAAGAGATATTATTTATATGTTAAAATGTTATAATACATAATATGGCAGGAATTGTAAAAGATAAATGCTTTCAAAACTGAAAGGAATGTTTCCCACTTATGCATTTATGATTTAATATTGAAAACATATATACTCAAACATCAATTCTATTAACTATTATGATATGATATTAATATAATTCTACTAATTGTGAAATATCTATGAAAATCATATATCTATTAAAAAGAATGATAATATAATATATAATAAACTCTCAGTTATTCATAACTATTGATAAAATTTTAAGATCAACAATTTTAGATTAAAATCTAAGCATTTCAAAAGTGCAATAATACCTTGTGCGTGCAAATCGTCTCATCACATTTTTTTTTAAGTATTCAGTTTTTAAACATTTACAAAAGCTTGAAACATCAACATAGGATGACATCCACATAAAACTTTAATTCCGATTTTATCATTTGCTGGAATAAATATAACAGAACCTCGATAAAGAATTTTTGATGGTGAGATTTCACCTTTTCCATTTATAATAATTAAAATGCTAGCTGTATTTCTGGGAATGATATTATATGAAGCTCTTCCAGGAGGAATCTAAAAAAATATTTTTTATACATTTAATAACTGGCTGATAATTTTTCATAAAGAAACTTACTGTAATTTTAGCAACAGCAAAATCTTTTACAGGAGGACGAAATACTTCTGTACATTCATCTTCACGAGAAGGTTGAAATTTTTTTGCAAAAATTGGTTCACAAATATAATTTAACATTTCAATTAATGTTGGTACATCTTTTAATTTAGGGGTCAATCCTGCACGTACTACATTATCAGAGCATGCCATGCATTCTATACAATCTGTAATTTTAATATGTTAAATTTTATATGTTAAAATATAATTATATTTCATATTGTATCATAAAGATGATAATATAAATTAATGTAAAATATAATATAAATTGCTGACCACCAGAAAGATATGCATGTGGTACATTTGGTCCAAGATATATAGCCTCTCCAGGCTGCATTATTATGAAATTAAAAAAATAAATACCAAAACATCCTACATCCCCTGGGAAATCTGAATATAGCCTTTCTAGTAAACTAGCATGTAAAGTTTGTCTTAATGATTCATCTAAAAACAATTATCTTTCTTATTAATGAAAAAATATTTATAAATATTTAATTATTGAAAATTAGATAATTACCAAATTAGATAATCTGTCAAGTAGTTTTCTGAGTTGTAATGCTATTAATCCAGGATCACAAGTCATTAGACTATGAAAACATGTTTTCAAAGCTTTAGTATTGTCTGCATCATCTGTTGTCATAAATTTAAGTACTTTATCTACTCCTATTACAGCACGTAATTCTGGGAGAATTTTTAAAAACTCTTGTATCTCTCTAATTGGACGGAAACCACAAAGAGCTTCAAAAGGTGTTAATGCTATTGCAATTTCAGGTTTATGATTTGCATCTTTGTAAATAGTAGGATATTGTTGATGTAATTCCTTTGCTTTTTCCTGTGTTAAAATATATCAATATAATACTTTATATATAATATCTTATATTAGACAATTGTATTATATAAAAGCATTATATAATCATAATATACATTTATGTTTGTATATATATCATTAAAACATACCTTATTTGGGTGTGCTTGAATTGATAATGCTTTGTTCACAGATAAGACTTTAAAAAGAATGGTAACTGATGACCAAATATTTTCTGAACATCATTTCCTAATACATGACTGTTTTGTTTTATATATTTTTCTAATAATATATTTAAATCTTTTATATATGAAGGACCATTGGGATGGGTACCCATCCATAGCTCTGCATATGGTTTTTTTTCATCCAATATAAAATCTGAATTAGCAGATTTCATTAATGTTGCTACAGTACTATCAATACCATATTTTCCCCAATCATATGTTTGTACTTTACATTTAAGTTCCATTATTTTAAAAATATTTCTGAAATAATAATAAACACTTTATAATAAAAATTAAAAACACTTTTATATATCTCTTATATATTATTGTATTAAAATTTTATATATAAAATATATTAAGATACACTTTAAAATAAAAATTTGCTTTTATTTTTAATTTAAATTTTTTAATAATATTTTTATACATATTTTCTATTAGAATATATAATATTATTATATTTTAAACGAAAGCATATGTTTATAATTCTTTGTAACATTACATTAAAAACTACAAGATGTAAATAATGTGAAGATATTAACTATTTGATCATTTGTACAAACTATAAGTATAATAAAAAAGTGACACGTAAATATGAATATTATCACTTTTTTTGATAAGTGTTGTCCAAATTTTATTCGCGAGCAAAACGAGTTTTCCCCACTCTACTTTCGTTGTCAAGGAACCAAAATGCTAATCTTATTTTTCTTGTACGGGTCTTTTATTTCTATCTTTTTAAATTGAAAAATTTCAAATATAATTAATTTTTAAAATAATTAAAAGAAAAGAAAAAATTCATTATGCTTGAAACTAGTTCTATGAAATATGCTAAATAGCAAACATAACTCATAAATTGATTAAAAAATTAATCAAATATAATATAAACAAAACAAATATATATGAGAGCTACTTTCGTATTTTAAATATATATTATAAATATAAATTAGTGTAAAAGAAAATAAAGACATATAGAAGACTTTATCCATGATAATATTTGATAACTAAATACATGCAATATTTCACCCTTATTTATTATTATGTTTGTTATATAATTAAAACATTATTTAATGTATTAAAATGTATTAATAATTAAATTATTTTCTCATTATTTTCTTATTTATTTTATTATATTATATTTATTTTAATAATAAAATAAATTCAAAATTTTATGAATTATCATTGAATTTTACAAATAAAATTACAAAATTAAATTACAAATTTAATATATAATTAGATATAAAAAATTATAAAGATAATATATAAAGTTAAAATTATAAAGATTATAAAGATTATTTGATATACAAATTATTTTAATTTGCTTTAAAAAAATTTATAAATAATTAATTTAATATAATAAAATGAAAAAATATTAATTAAATTGATAACTGATAATTAAATTGATAAATAATACATGATTTATTAAGTTTTCTTAATAATTTTATAATTTTATAAATCAATATTTATCTAATTATTAAATTTTTATAATTTTATCACTTTGATTTATATATCTATAATTTATACATTATTAAAATTGCAAAACATAAATAAGTAAAAATAATATATATAGCAAAAATATAGTAGAAACATATTCTATGTACTTTATATTTCATGTCAATCTTCAACTCGACTATGTAACGATATATTCAGTCTCTTTCACATCTATCGTGTTCTGTGACATCGCGTGTGCTAGAAAAAGTAAGTATTTTTTAAATATGTTTTAATAATTAATTATATAAACAAGTATTATTAAATATATTAAAATTTTTGTTCCAGTATTCATTTATTAAATAGTAAAAATGGTAGCTCAAAAAAAGCAGGTAAATACATTTTCAAATTTACACGTGCTATTCAATTTTCAAAGCATACGTTAAAATTATTCTTTATATTCATAAAATATGAGTACATTAAAATAATAATAATAATATATGGATACGAATTAAATTTATTATTATATTTCTAAGCCATTTTTCAAATAATTTTTTTTAAATATTTAAATAATTTTTTATAATAGAAGAATAATAGGAGTTAGAGGTTAATAGTTTATTAAGTATATCTTATTCGTTAACAGAAAAAATCTCAAGAAGGGATCAATTCCAGATTGGCCCTTGTTATGAAATCAGGAAAATATGTTCTGGGATATAAGCAGACATTAAAGTCCCTCCGGCAAGGAAAAGCAAAATTAGTCATCATTGCTAATAATGCTGCACCTTTAAGGTGAGACTGAGATGTAGTACTCCTTCAATTATAAATAATTACAAAGCAATATGAACAATATGAAATAATATTCTACATTGAATGTTGGCAAATATATTAAAAAAATTTTATATTTCATATTGATTTGTATACTCATAGTAGGAGTTCTACGGAGTAGTCTCACGTCTCTGTTTGTAAGTACAGAGACACTTCAAATTTATATTAAATTAAAAGCTATAAATGTTTGTTTTATTTGTTTAACAGGAAATCAGAGATAGAATATTATGCTATGTTGGCAAAAACTGGTGTGCATCATTATATTGGAAATAACATAGAATTAGGTACTGCATGTGGAAAATATTTCCGTGTATGTACTCTTTCTATTACAGACCCTGGAAATTCAGATATTATAAAATCTATGCCTACTGGTGAACAACCATAAATATTTTTTATTTAATAAAATTTTAATAAAAATATAGTCATTTTTTATGTCTTATTAATTTTTCCTACTTACATTTTTAATTTAAATTATAATTATAAATTAATATTAATAAAACTCAAATTAAAAATTTTTTAAGATTCATGATAAATATTATTTCTTTATGAAAATATAAATAGTATGCAAGTTTTAATTTTTTATTGATGATATTTTTCTTATATATTATGTATTATTTTCAATGAAATTATTTTTAATAAAATAATAAAACTCATAGATGAATTATTAAATAAATTTAATATTTAATAGTAATATTTTTTTAGTCCATACTTTATTCGCATAAAAAATTATTTATATTATTTTTAATAAAATTGAAAATATTAGTATTTTTATAATATAAATAATCATGAAAATATAATAAATAATATATTATTATATAGGAAAATTATATAGAAATCCTATAATAATTATAAGTATTTCTAATTTTTCGATTGGTTTTCAATTGTTAATCAAATATGAAAACAATCTTTTGGACATAAATTTTGTAGACCAAACAAAGAGAATAATGGCAAAAAGACAAAGATAGATTAAGAATTGCCTAATCATGCTACTTTTAGAATATTGTAAATGAAACTAATATAAACAAAGAGAGTAAATAGTAAGAGTAGATATAGAATAAGAATTGACTCTCAACGTTATCTCTTGAATATTTTCTTGAAAAAATATTTTTTCAAAGAATCAAATTTCTAAAAGTCTTTAAAAGATGGCGTTGATGTTCAATTCTTATTATTTAAGAAATGATGTTAACAAATTCTTTTATTTATTTTTTAGTCTTTTTTTAAATATTTGTTTTAGTTTAAAATTTGTTTTTTTAAACATTTGTTTTAAATTCTTCTATCATATTTCAGTATTAAATATTTTCTGAATTCTGTTTAAATATTTTTATATACTTATATAATAAATTAAGTATTAAATATTTTAATCTTTTTAAATTTGATTCTTTTGTTTTAAATATTCACTTCTATATTTTCTAGTTTATATTTTCTAGTTTTTCTAATTTAAATAATTTTTATTAAAAATTAATTTTAATTTAATTATATTTATAATCAACGAATCTTTGATTATACAAATATATTAAAATAGAATATATTATATTTCAATTTTCGTGCCATTAAAATGAATAGCAAACTACCCCATTATTCCAGCCAATCAGAAAATTGTTAAGATTTAACAATGGAATGAATCATTGAGCATCATTGTGTGTATAGAGTAAAAAATTAGATAAAAATTAGATAAAAATTAATAGAGTAAAAGTAAAAAATTTAATTATTATAGATATTTTATTTTTATTTTTTTTTTTGATCGGAATTTGATTTATTAAATATCCATTTTTTGAACATATAAAATTAGAAAGCAAGTACAGATAAGATAAAGATAATAAATAATGAAAAAAAAATAGAAATAGAATAAAAAAGGAAATTAGCATTTAGAATGCCAAATGAACCGAAACATATAAACATATAAGAAAAAGAAATAAAAAAGATATAGATAAGATAAAAATTAAATCTGAATACTATCTTTTGAAAACCAAAAATATTTTTTTAAAGAAATATTTTTCTAAAAATACTGAAAAGATGGCAATAATATTTATTCTAGTTCTTATTCTACCTTATCTTTGGAAAAAATCTCTTATGATTCAATCATTTTTAATTTATAATTCTTGACTTTTATGTTTATTTATTACTTATTTATTACAATGTAAAATTTTTATATTGCAATTCAGATTCAATTATGTCATTTTTTATATATATATTTTTTCTAATTCAGTTAATATTTATGCTAATTTTTTTTTATATTTTAATTTTTTTTAATTTTTAAATTAAATAATTTTTCTATACTGTGATTCTTTTTAGTTTATAAGAAATAATAGATAATTTTTATGTTATATTCTTCCTTTATATGTGGCAATTTTATTTGTTATTTGTTAGATTTAATTAATTGTTATGTTGAATTTCATTTTTATGCATGTTTTTCCTATCTAATTCAATTTAATATTTATGTTAAATTCTTTTTTTGATCTTTTAATTCTTTTAGATTTTTTCAATCTTGAAGTTAAATTTTTATTTTTATATTTCAAACTTTTTAAATTTATACTTATATTTATATTATATATTATAGATTATATTATTTTTATGTTACATTTCTTTTTGTATTTTTACATTTATTCATTATTTATATGTTATAATCTTAAATTTTTTTCTTATGTTGCAGCTTTGTTAGATTTAGTAAAAATATTATATTGTTTTTTTTATGTATATTTTTTCTAATTCAATTTAACATTTGTATTATATATATTTTTAATGTTTTAATTTTTTTAAATTTCTTTTAACTTTGAGATTAAATTTTTCTATGTTTCAATCCTTTTTTATTTTATAGTAATTCATTTTTATATTATATTTTCTTCTTATATTTGTATATTTATTCATTATTTATATATTATAATATTCAATTTTCTTATATGTTGTAACTTTATTAAATTTAGTTGCTTTGTTTAAATGCTTTTCCTGATTTAAATAATATTTCAATTAAATTCTTTTTTTATATTTTAATTCTTTTAAATTTTTTAATTTTGAGGTTAAATTTTTCTTTTATATTTCAATTTTTTTTACTTCATAATAGTTAACTTCTTATTCTATATTCTTTCTTGTTTCATTTATTATTTATATATTACAATTAAATTTAAATTTTCAATTTTAAATTAAATTTTTTTCTTATATATTGCAGCTTTGTTAGATTTACTTACTTAAATGTTATTTTATTTCCTTTATATATTTATTTTTATAGTTCAATCAATATATATGCTAAATTCATTTTATATTCTTTAAATTTTTTAAATTTGTTTGACTTTTATATATTTTTCTTTTATATTTCAATTCCGTTGATCTTAATATAAAATATCTTATTTACATTTCAATTTTTTCTAATTTCTTTAAATTTCATGTTAAATAAATATGCTGTATTTTTTTC